GTCCAGAGAAAATTGAACGACAGTTTCTGTTTTTACAGTTTCTGACTGATAAATGGTGTAATTTAGGTGATTTTGCATCTTTTCTTTAGAAATTGGCGGTAAAATAACTACAAAATACAACCATTTAAATCTATACCACCCTCTCCTAAGCCAAAATAAAAAAACATAAGTCACTCCCCTGCACTTTTACATACCTCCTCCTTTTTGCACCACCCCTCCTCCCTCATAAGTAGCAAACAGTCCCTTACGCCACTTTCCAGCTGTACAATAAAACCACTATCATCTGACTTTTAAATGTAATGGGAAAGGTTACAATCCGTATTCACACCCTGTCAAATGACTCTGTAGTGGTAGTATTTATCAGCTGCTGCTCTGATCGGCATTGATGATAAATTGACTGCACTTGTATAGCGCCTTTCTAGTCTTCCGACCACTCAAAGTACTTTTACACTACATCACAGTCACACACTGGAGGCCGAGACTAGCATATATGGTGCCACCTGCTACTCAGTAACCATTCACTCACTCCCACACAGTGATGGAACAGCCATCAGGAGCAATTTGGGGTTCAGTATCTTGCCCAAGGATACTTCAACATGCAGACTGGAGGAGCCGGGGATCAAACCCCCTGATCTTCCAATTGGTGGGCGACCCACTCTACCTCTGAGCCACAGCCGCGCCTTGATGGAAACACAACACATGGGTGAACGTGTTAATTTTAGCTCCTTTACCGGCAAGATGCAATGACACGCCACCACACAAACCATCCTCCTCCACCCAAGCAGCGCTTGAACATCGATTCAAATGAGTCTGAACCCAATAAGTAAGAGATGTACAAAAAGGCGAAACTGCTGTAAAGTTTTCACTGGCCTCCATGCTGCTTTCTACTGTTTACTAACCTGTTTTGCGCCCTGTCTGTGATGTCGAACATGATGCACACAAAAAAATCCCACACAGACAGAAAGGCAGGTTTACTGTCAATGGGAAAGTCTTAAGCCTATTTTATGCCGGTGTCTTCCAGCCACATTATTAATTTATGTTACATATCATATTGCCAAAACAGGACTTCAGAATGAGAACAGGCTAATTTTTTACAGGCTGAGTCATTCCCCTAATGACGAGTAAATGAACTTGATGTGTGAGAGTGTACCTTTAAAAATTTCAAAAATAATCAATGAGTTACACATGTTTAATTAGCCCACCTTATAAACCTAGTGTCAGATACTGAATGGTACCAATCGTGTCGTGGGTTATTACAACTCTACTCCCAGTTTGAAAACCAGCTCGTCTTTATGTCCTCAGTTAACGTTGAGATTTTGACCCGAGCCTCCTCTTCCCCTCGTGCTCCTCCTGATAGGCTGAATCAAGTCGACCAACCTTTATCCCTTTAAATCATCAGCTCATCGTGCTTTGAACAAACTGGCTTAGTTTTTACATGCCCCTTTATTGTGTGGATTCCCCTCCCCCGCCTCTTCTGATTTATGTTGTAAATCCAGGCAGATTGCTGCTAAAAACTATCTGCGCTCATTTTTCATTTTGTAACAATACTGACTTGTTGCTGCTTGATTTCATACTAACTGTAACACTGACAAGTCGAAGCCAACAACCAGAACAACAAAAACACTGCAGGCATCAGATCACCTGTGACACACACCAGCGTGTAGTCATAGCTCACTATGATGCATCCTCTGGACTTTACCTCAGTTGTCTTGTACAGACATTATTACTCACATAATGTACACAACTCAGGGGAGTGGTCAGATGTTGTGTAACCAATCGTGTCTGATCCACTTCCTGCTGTAAAATTAGATCTGTATCAGCCTTCATCATCATCAAAGGAAGCAATACCACCTTGTCAACGGTCGACTTTCATGACGACTTCAGCTCTTCCCACTGTCATTAACTCTTCCAGGACGCTCCCTGTGAACTCGGGTTTACCCTCATTCTTCCACCTGAAACCCCCTCTGGGGCTGAAGTGGGATCTGTGTGTGGCAGAGGGGCAGTATAAATAGCCCTGTGTCCCTGCTCAGGTTACTCAGCCACAGCCCAGGTTGAAATACCAGAAGACAGAGGGACACACTGACGACACACATGTTCTTCTCCACATACGTCACAAAGTCACACAGGAGCTGCAGTGAACATTTAAAGGAGGTATCAGTGTGTATTGTCTGTGCTGTAGGTGAGGACCCATCGGAGAATGAGAGATAACACCACAGTGTGTGATGACACAGCAGCTCAGAGGGAAGTTCACTTCCTGTGAGTAATGATGAGTAGTGTCGCTTTAACTCAGTCTGGTAACACGGCGTGCTCCCTCCGAGGCTCTGATGCAAACCTCGATGAATTTCCATGACTGAGCTGAATCAGTTACACGGTTACAGTTTTACTTCCTCTCTGATTTGTTTAAGCAGCACTCAGCAGGGTTATGATGCAAATGTTGGACAGAGAGACAGAGAGCTCGCCCACCTGACTGAGAGCTGGTATAAGAACCATCTCCAGCCTGGTGACGAGAGATCAACATTCTGTATCAGTCCGGACTTGATGCCTCCCGAAACACTTCCCAGAAATTAAAAATCCAATCAGGGCCAATCAGAGATCTGCACCATTGTTGATAACGTAGTTGACGACATAAAATGCAGGCCGCAGCTTGCAGAACAGTAATGGCAGCTCCCGAAGCAGCAAGTGCTACTCTAACATTAATACACACAGCAATAAGTGAAGTTATTGCAGAAATAGAGTCAATAACAACAGTTAAACAAGAACAACAGCATGCACTCGTAGAGTTTCTCAGAGGAAAAGACATTTTCACTATTCTTTCGACTGGATTTGGCAAAAGCTTGATTCATTAACTTGCTTCATTGGTGATGAAGATGTTCCCTGTGTTTTGTTACAGTGACTGGCTGAACCACTTTGTCTATTAAGGCGAGTAGTCCCGCCCACTGAAAGTGTCCAGACTCACAGACTTTGCGGGCACGTTCCCGTACTTTCTGCAGACTTCGGAGAGTCCCCGAAGGGCGCAGACTTCAGCAGACCTCACTGACTGTATTGCCCATAACTCATTGCAGTATGGTCATGCAGGGTCAGATGAGCAGACAGAATGTGACAGCCGTTGCAATGATTGTAAGCCTTGCTGGAACGTTTTCATGGCAACAAATAAAACAGTCTCGAGGCCTGTGTATCAGCGGCTTGTGGTCTACGCCCTCGCAGACTTTACGTGATGACAGTGAACTCATCGCAGTATGTACGACTGAAGTCCAAGCAAGCTCAGTCCTCAAGTCCAGAGGGTGAACATTTGGATTCAGTCTTTGCAGTGGGTTCAAATGCAACTTTCTGGCCTGGACACAGGCAACAGGAGGGGACGCATTTGATCTGATTTCACTTTGTTGTCTTAAAAAACTCTGAAATTGCATCCCAGGATGTCAACTACACACATAAATACATTTAAACAAATAACAAAATCATACACATCCCAACTGACAAATAAGCTCCTTAACCTGCTCAGTTGAGCCTGTGGGACTCTAAATCTTCTGTGTGATGGCAAAAGCTTCTTCAAATCATGTGTGAGAGGGGTCGGACGTAATATTACCAGCCAGAGAAAACATATTTTTAGGATATGCAGTTTGGAAACTTGACTCAAGCACTTGAACCACAGCCTTTGAGCAGATACGCAGCAGTCTAGTTTTAAGCTGAACAGCAACAGAAAGACAACTGTCCCATGCACTGACTCCATACTGCACTCTGTATTATAGATCAGAAAAACAGTAACAAGATCTATTTGTTTGCCCCAAATGACCTCAGCCTCCAAAAATAAATATGTTGTTGCACCTTACTACTAATGTGATCGAAATGTGCACTCCAGGACAAAGCAGCATCCACATCAGTGCCTGAATATGTCAGGTGTGTGCCTCTAAACAGAACAGGCTCTATCCCTGCTCATCTAACAACACTGCAATGAGAGTAAGAACCAATGTAGAGTATACGTTCTGCTTTATTTTTCTTTACTGATACATTTGCAAAATTCCCTTATGCTCCCATCAAAAAGTCCATAATCAGCCAAATCTCTCTAGTTCTATTATCTTGTGTCTGTTGAGGCATCTCGGCCCTCGCCTCCCTCCTTTACCTTTAAAGCAATCCTGTACCATTTAAATGCCAATCCCAGGGGGTGATTTTCGTAAACTCGTCCAGTCTAAGAGCCACCCAGGCTGAGGCAGATTGAAAATCAATTCATCTCTCCCTCTGGTTTCTTCAATACGTGTGCATGCCTGAGCACAGCAAAGCTCGCTCTGTTAACTCATTAACACAGGAACCTCAGGCTGTTCTTAAATCGATGTCTATTTAAAAGCACAGACTGTGCATTTTATCGAACAGACCTGCTGGCTCGGACGCTGCGTTTTCATTGACCAGGTGCACAGCTGATGGATGGATCGCTTACAGTAACCGAGATCGTACACATCAGCAGGCAGGTAAAATTATAGCCCACACATGCTTTAACGTCCGGTCATTGGTTTCCGTTAATGGTTTTTCTACAGCGGAGAAAATCCACATCTTTAAATGAGCTTATTTCAATTTCAATTTCAATTGTCCCTCGTATTTGAAACAGTTTTTGACTCTGTGTTATTGCTCATATCCACTCAGACATATGCAACATCCCTTTGTCTTTGTCCCCAGAATTTTCAAAGAAGTTGGCTGAAGGTCACCACGATACAAAGCTCCGTCCGACTGCAATCATCTTCCTCTTTCCTTCAGATCTGTTAGCTCTTTCTGCTGCTTCAGCACTTCTTTATATTCTCAGAACAACTTGCTCATGTTTTAAAGTCATCGTACTGAGAACTGCTACGTAACTATCCGAGGTCATGGTTTCCAGTTTTTCTTGTATAACAGCCGAGGGCAGGGGGTGATGTCTGTATCTGTGTTTGCAGTGTATGTTTGTTGGGAGGGATCCCCTTGAAAATGAGGTGCTACACGTGAAGGTGCTATCCTGGGACAGACGAGCTGCTTCCTACCTTGTGACAGGCGGGTGGGCTGTGTGACCTGCAGCCCATCTATCGCACAGAGGTTTCCACAGGGGTGCAGCGTGATGACCCCTGACCTGTTCTCTATGTAGCAGTGCTGGGCGCCCACTCCGGGGCCCTGGATGCTGATGTCCATGGGGCCATGACCCAGTGTGGTCCGACCTGAAGGGAGGAAGAGTTAGAACAACACCTGATGAGGACCACAACTGATTATAAAAACATAAAGAGTTAGGATAAAACTGATTATTGGGCTTTCTCTCCATTATAATGATATGAAATAAAATGTTTTGTAAGCCTCTGTATTATAAGATTATTCTCTTTAGATATACCTGATAGTTTTGGATATGTAATCTTTACTGCAACTTCACTACAAAGAGCACGGTGCCTAATTGTAATAGTTTTGACTAATGATGAATTATAGCATATTTTAGGACAATATTACCTGTAGGAAATGTTCAGAGAAACTTTGGTAAGAAAATAAACCTGGAACAATACAGTTGAGGAGGATGTTCCCCCCATCACCAGTGAAAATTACGCCCTTGAGCAGCAGGAACAATAGTAGTTGTAATTCCCTCCAGGGCTCGGTAAAATGTCATAGGTAACAAACAAACACACTTTCACACACACACCATCCTTGCCTGGACATGACCTCTGGAATCCCCCTGCATACCAGCCTGCAGAGGCACAGACAGACAGGAAGGCCAGCAGACACACAGGTACAGACACACACACACTCAGACACACACAAACACACAGACAGAGGGGCATCATGCAAACAGGCAGAGCAAAGGCCAAGAAGTCACCAGACAAACACATGATGAAGCCTGCCTGCAGGGCGGACTGAGAGACAAAGACGAAAGACAGATGCAGAGGTGATAACAGGCTCAAGGTAACAGAGAGTGTTGTTGTTGTCCTTTGTAAAAGACTGTAAGTGTGATTAAAATCATATAAAATAAGCTTAATGTCATGAAGCTTGTCTGGAAACAATGATGTGAAGTTATAACTTTCCGTAACCATTTCTGTCTGACTGAATGATGTAAGTGTATTAACAAAGCGTCCTCAGAAGCTCTTTAAACAGTGTATTTTGTAACGCTGACATCAGCTGCTCTGATCCTCTACGTCACTCTCTGGAGCTAACTGGTGTGCTGGTGTCACAGCAGATGTCTCACCCTCGGGCAGCGGCAGCAGGGTGATGGCTGTACTCAGCCGTCCACTGCCCAGGCTGACCAGGTGGGGGCGCTCTGCTTGGAACTTCAGCCCCTTTCCAGTCTCGTATAGGTCCAGAGGAGTGCTCTGAAAAGAAGGTCACAAATAAACTGTGAGTTAGATGTAATCCTGAGATTGGATAAATGAGGCTTTGGTTCAGCAACAGTTTGGAGTTAATGTTCTGTTCAGACTGACGGGTTCTTTTGCCAGGAAAACAGAAACATTTGTGGAATATGTGGTGAACTCATAATCACAGAAGGGGATGTTCATAATGAGGGTGGTTATAAAAATCCTTCTTGGTGTGTTTTTATTTCCATTTAATGTTGTATTTGTTTCCTTTAAAAGCAGTTTTATGATAAAACATGCAGCAAATTGTATCACAGTTTTTAAATAAATTGATAAAACATGTATTGTGCAACAAATAACTATTTGAAACACTTATAAAACGTATTCCATGCTGCAAGTGCTATAAACGAGCAACAGTACCAATAGTCCCTTTTACACTGCCTGGTCAAGGTTGGGAATATCACACTGTTATGCTGCCTCGCTGTGATGTATATAAGATAGTGTTGCAGAATAAAGGGACATAGTTGTCACACCTTTAAGCCACCACAAGAGGTGGTAACAGCTCTGAAACGCTGCCTGTATGAGCAGGACAGCCAGCAGGACGGGACCAAGGGCAGGACAGGTGTATCTCTTAGCTCGTTTCTGCACATACTACGTTACCCAGAAACCCTTGTGTGTGAGTCTCAGTAACAAATCACATCAGATAAACACCATCCCAGCACTGCAGAATCAAAACGGGCGTGACGGGCATGACATGTAGCTCAGCAGCATCAGCCTCTAGTGTGATGTAAACATATTGGCAGTGCTTTATAAAAAATCTTGCCACCTTGCAACCTATATGACCCCGTGGTGGATCACATGTATAACACTTTGTCAAAGCGTCAAACTTTTGCCACCCGTGATCCGATCCTGCCCTGCTGTCCTGTTAAAACAGACACCGTTATGGCGCTGTTACTACCTGCCTGGGTGGATTAAAGACGAGACCACTCTGTCCCCCCATTCCACAATAATACGTTATGTACACAACGGTAAGGCTGCTGAACGGCACAACACTAGCGGGCTAAGGGGCTACTTTGACAACGTGTTACGGGTGTGACCCATTGCTGTTAGCAGTTAGTGGCTAACTCAGAAAAGAAGAACATCGGCTGTAAATGACCAAAAATTGGGTAAACAATGAGAGCGCCTTACCCTCTGATCAGAGGACGAGATCAGCCGCCAATCAGAGAGATGGTAAATAATTATTGCTGCCATGTTCGCCATTTTTATTGTTTATAAAGCGCTGCTGACGCATATGTTTTAAATCACACTTGAGGCCGATGCTGTATTGTTATATGGCCTGTTTTGATTCTGTGATACTGGCATGCTGTCTTTAATCACACACAGGAGCAGAATGATGCCGGCGATGTTTGGTTCTATGTTAAAATGCAAAGGAGGCATAAAGACGGGACTTTGTAGCTATAGCGCCATCTCTGTGTAAAAAGGGACCACTGACTGACTTGGAACATATACAATACACTGAAAGCCTTCACAAAGGAACTGTAAATCACAGCTTTGTAGACATTGCAACATACTGTGTGTCATCTTTACATCTAAAAGTAAAGAAGTCACATCCTCTGTCTCTGTGTGCATGACTCTGTCTGGACTGTGAACAGGCCATGAGTGGGACCTAATCAGGGATCATTTCCTGTCCATTAGCTGCACTAATTGGTTGTGCACGACACAAACGTTGTGAACATGTCGTATTAGAGGAGGGATAACACTCATAATATTTGTGTCCTGCACAAACGGCAGTTTTACTGCTTCACTAATGCACCGGACCTACAGAGAGAGGTTCATCCTCCACTCTGGGGACGAGCCTGAATGTCTTCACTATGGGAGGTCATTTCCATAGCTGGCTGCTCCGGCTGTTTACATATTCCTCCACACACTGAAGGAAGTGTGTGTGTGTGTGTGTGTGTGTCGTCTCCCCCCTCTCCCCCTCGCAGCTCTGCCTAAAGCACCACCGTGTGCTCTCGGCACAGCAAGGGGGAAGGGATGTCGCCATAGCAACAGCACTCCGCAATTAAGAAACATGAAGCTCCTGGAGGGCGTTCAACAAGCTAACTTGTGATGAGCACTTTTCAGCACAGGGACGCCCGAACATAAAGACAATCCTGCTTTTTAGTCATCTTCTTATTGTCAGATTACTGCGAGTGCGGAGCAGAGTTTTTGGCTGAGGTGCAGCGAAATGTGTTATGTTGTGTTTTCGTCTTTGTCTCTGAAGCTTTACCTCCCAGGGTTTGACATAATGAAACAAATTACTCCTCCTGTTGAGTAACATCCATTATTCTGAAGAGAGGAAAGAAAAAATGTTTTTGCATATCAAAGGGACACATTCACCAGGATGGCCCTCAGGACAATGTTTCAGTTTTCAGCTGACGGAGTGGATTTATCACATATTAAGGATGGTATGGTCCCAAACATTTAAAGGTCCAGTTTGCAGGATTTAGGGGGATATATCAGTAGACATATAATATCATATAGTAAGTATGTTTTATTTAGTGTATAATCACCTGAAAATAACAAGTGTTGTGTTCCCCTCACCTTAGAATGATATCTACATAGGGAGCGGGTGAGGCTTTCAGTGAGGTATGGCGTCATCATTTAGGATACACTACTTACCAAATAAGTTTCACATCACAGCACATGATTATGATGATTTATTATTTTGAAAGCAGACTTTGGTCACTTGTGCTGATGAAGCTCTGTGCCAGCTGAAGTGTTAAATGAACTGTGAGTGGGTGTGGAGCCGCTCGCTGGCATTGATTTGCATTTTAAAACCTGCATCTTTGTGTTCCACTTCTGGAGCCCTTACATTTGTTATTTACAACCTGTGCGCGATCACTGACCCGGCCTCTCAGCTGGTTAGCTAGCCGTGTGTGTCCTAATAGGATTATGTGATTGTGGTGGTGCCGTCGGTGGAGTGGGGTCAAGCCTAAGAGGATTGCTGAGATAGAGACTGGCAGGGAGGCACTGGGAGGCTTATTGGGAGTGATGGGAGGAGAGGGGAGGTGCCAGTGGGGCAACACTGCAGGAGTCACGCTGCCTCATCTGCTGTGCGCTGCTGCTCCCATGTGGTGCACGCAGCAACAGCCTCTGTACATACAGGGTGTAATGCACATGTCTGAAGTAAATACTTTATGTCTTCTACATTTATGACTTATATTGTATTTGATTAGGTTTGTGCAGCACAAATCCTTATTGACAGAAACTTGTTATTCTATGTATCTAAATCTGTTTTTTGTCATTTTATTGTTCTAAATTCAGAGTATGTCTGTGCATCATTTCTCTGTTTACTTTTCTTATTCTTTTTTTTATCTTATCTCTTATTAAAGATTCAGATTTGAAAAACAGAATGTATCTGACACTTTGACACTGAATTCTTAGCCCCTTTTACGTCACCTGTTCAAGGCAGGAATATCACACCATTATTCCGCTTTGCCAGCAACATGGTAAGTACCACCAGGTTCACACTGGACTCTGAAGTATTGCGAAGCACGTTGATTTATCGTCGTGCGCTGCCCGCTAGCTTTCAGCTCTCATGGTAACGATTGGGCGGTTCACGCTGGATGCGGCACCTAGTGCCCAGGCTGGCTCGCAATCTGCAGCAATAGTTTCGGTGTCTGTTTTTTTTTTCTGCAAGCCAATCTGGAAGGCACACTGAAAAATGACTGTAAATTATATAAAGTGTATTTTAAATATGATATAAATTATCTGGGTATGATAAGTGATAGAATATGTATCCCATGAACCCACAATGTGGCAGTTGTGTCTAACAGAGTGATAGAGACAAGCAGAGCTACACACACACTCTCAAACACACAGGCACACAGACACACACACAAACAAGCAGGTGGAGACACAGCTCTTTGTGTGTTTTAAACAGAGCACAGAGCAGAAAAGCACTTCTGTTATGAACAGCCAGGCGACTGCTGACGAGCGGCTGTGCAACAAACTAACAAATCGCTGTGCTTTTGTGTCCAGTGTGAACCCAGTGTGAGTTGGGGCCAGCCTGCAGGATGAAGATGTGAGTTGACAAGTGTTACGTGTGTGACTCACTGCCAGGAGATTTAAAAAACAGCTATCAGCAGTTAGCAGCTAACTCAAAAATGAACCACAGCTGCGTATGTTATAAGCAGTTACAGGCAACCTACTTTCATTTAAAATGAAATGGTAAAAAATGAACTTTTCGAGAAAAGTCTTTGTCAGTAAAAGGTTTCTTAATATCTCAAACACTTGTGTTTAACGTCACAACCGACACACCTCTTTCTCTCCTCGGATGCCATCATGCTGTGTAAAATCACACACTTGAGCAGCATGATGCTGCTGCTGTTTATCTGTGTAAAAATGTGAAGGCAGTATGAAGAGTGGACTTCATAGTGGCAATCTCAGTGTAAAAAGGGCTCTTAGGGTGAAAAGGCAGGACACATAATTGCAGATAAGGGGGAGAAGTAATAGAAGAAAAGTATGAACCATCTTGATGCCATTGCTCTAAAAAAATGCACAAATATTCATACATATTGTATTTACATGTCCTTGTTTTGCAAGGCATGTGATGACCAGTGAGTCCAACGGCTCAAAAAGAGGTCAACTTTAATTAGTGAACTTGCCATTATGTCTTTCTTTCCACTGTCCAGCTGCCACTGGTTGGTTCTGTAGCCAGCACAGAGAAAGATTTACTTTGCTTTGTCTACAGTTACACATTAAAGAATAATTTTTCTGTTAAGCATTTGGACACATTAAAGTTTAATATCTCCAATTTGCTATATTCTTATATATGTTCCTGTTTGCCTCGCAGTAGCAACGTCCCAGTTTCCCTACAAGAATCATTAACATTTAATCTAAGCATGTTTTTTCTCCCATCTTTTGTTCCCTCTGACTCCTATACATGCCCACATGTTTACTGGTGTCACTTTTATGGACATTGTATAGATTGATATTAATTTCTAACTCCAACCTTAACCTCTGACCCCCGAGTCATTTTCTTCCCAAGTGGGGACACAGCTTTTGTACCATTTGCACAAGTTGTCCCCAATTAACTGGTCTTTAGTCTTTAGTGTCCCAGAAAGTAGCCTCAGTAACGCACACACACACACGCACACACACACTGCGCTTCCCTTAATGCCTGATAGGATTGTCAGGCCCAGCAGGTGGGAAACGCACACAACCAATCTGCGGGCCTGTCTAATTACTGACTCTGGCAGAAGAGATTCCTGCTTTACAGCATACTGACATATGCTGTCAGGACGCGTCCCAGCTGTACCGCCTGACCTGACCTGCCGCCTCGTCATTCAGTAAAGCCTTCAGCTGTGTGTTCAGCATCCATGGAGAGTTTCAGTGCCAAAAATCTGCCAGAGGAGCCAATGTGGTGACATTTAGCATCAATGGATGCAGTTATCAGGAGAAGAGAGTGCTCAGTGTGTGTGTGTGTGTGTGTGTGTGTGTGTGTGTGTGTGTGTGTGAGTGGGTTCACACTGGAAACATGGAACAAAACTGTAACACTGATAACAAATGACTGTGTTTTTCTGTGATGGTTACTGTCTCTGGCTCTTTCTGTCTGACTTAAGGCTGATTTATACTTGTGCAGCAGTGGGGTTCTTTAAGGTGCTATAAAAGTTTGAAACAACACCCAAAATACATGGTTTAATAGCAACAATATAAAGCACAAGTACACAAATCGGCTCTGTTAAAACTCACAAGATTCACAGACAAACACTTGTCTTTATCTGGACACTTTTTCCCCACAAATACAACATGCTAACGTTATTAGCACAAGCCTATGGAATTTTACATTGTATTAATTAGCCCAGAGGCTAGTGGAGTTTTCCTCTACTCATTTGAAACCAGGAACAACAGCAACATTTAACAAAGGTAACGTTACAAAATTTGGCTCCATTACAACTCACAAGGTTCACTGACAAAACAACTGTCTTATATTAAACTTGTTTTTCCTAAGAGTAGAACATGCTAACGTTATTAGCACAAGCCTATCGCATTTTACATTGTATAAATTAGCCTAGGGGCTAGCTGAGTTTTTCTTTACTCATATGAAGCCAGGATAAATCACACACAAGACTTAAAGTGTTATTTTTGTGGAAGCTTTATTGTCTTCACAATATATTGTTTCTTATCTGTGAAATAAAGTAAATAAAAGCTTTGTTTCCACTGAGGGAAATGGTTTCAGCTTACAGAAACAGACAGGAGGCGTCACTGTGACATGTAGTTATATTTCTGGGGTGACGCACTTCAGGTTACAGCACAGGCTATGGTGTAAGGTACGCGTCCACGCAAAGCCTACGCCAAAAGTACAGCATCAATTTGACCCAGAAGTATAAACACCCCTTTACTCCTTCCCTCCATCTCCTCCCCATTCCCCACATCCCTAACACACACACACACACACACACACACACACACACACACTCACCTTTAACACCTGGTGGGTCTGCCGTCCACACTCAGGCATGTTCCTGTTCAGACGGTCCATATCCACTGAGTTGTCCACAGCTCCCTGCGACACATGAAGGTCCTGCGGGAGGAAATGAGAACATCATTCATGAGAACATCATATAATCCAGACAGTGGGTGATAAAAGTCGTCATGTGTGACTTCATCTCAAGTTACAGCATCAAAATCTTGTGTGTTTTGCGTAGTCGTGGTCAAATCTGTAACCATATTTAGCGGGATTCCCCCTCCCCACTCTGACTACACACTAATGTGTCAAGGTGTGATTCATGCTGTGAGTGCACACACACACACACACACACACACACACACACACACATAACAGATGGCTGATGGCATTTAGCAACACACTGTGAGGAAGTAACACACTTAAATCACACACATTTAAATGTCTTGGTAGTTGACACATTCAGTGGAAATCAGCCGTGTTGGCTGCTCTCTTGTCTCTCAGTCTCTATGAAAACAAACACACACACACACACACATACACACACACACACACACACATACGCTGTACCCAGATCCCACAAATTCCTCCTTTCTTACTCAGTCATTTTGAGGTATTTCCATCAAGTCAGCACTGAACAAATGGCTATAAATATTTTCCCTGTCTATATCGGTGCACTTGTTAAGTGGCCAGTCTGTGACTATATGTGAGAAAACACTTCTGAAGTCATTATATGAGATGTGAGAAGCTTGTGGTTGTAGGGAAGCACAGAAAACCACACGGAAAGGTTAGAAAACACATAATTACAACAATCACAGAGGAGCAGAGTGTACCCGGAGTCATTTGCATGCCTAAAATGTTGTGCAGCAGGGATGGAAAATATGTTTCTGATGTACTCTGCCCTCAGGATAACAAAACACTGCTGCAATATCATCATATTTGCTCTCCTGACAGACCCGTGAAATGATATTCAGGGGAGGCAGCCTCGGGGAAGCCTCAAACAGTAAATCACAAAACAGCCAGAAAATAAAAACAAATGTTGGGAAAAACTCTATCTGGAAACACTTTGTGCAATATGAAACTCTCCTCTGAGCCAGAAGCTGCAAGAATTCTGCAAACTACAAACTGATTCCCCCCCTCAGGTTTTATACAGTGTCTCTCATGTGAAACTACAACCAGCTTTTCAACCTGTCTCTAAATATAATAATTACCTTCCTCCAGTTGTCCAGCACATGCACAGCCTCCATGGTAACGAGCTGCTCCTGGCTCCTGACTCAATCCTATCAGTGTGAACTTAACTGACCAGGACACCTCTAACACTGCAGAGTGGACACTATTTCTATAACGTGTCCTTTTCCCATGAAACACAGATTGTCTCTTTGTCTTGCTCACAGTTCTTTGTCTAAAGCTACCAGCGCAGGATCCTCCACAAACTCCCATTCAGGAGGTGGACCTGTTGCTGCTTGCTCCACTAAACCAAGACCTACATTCCTGACTGGCAGCACCAAAGTCCCAGATAACACAGACACGTGTGTGTGTGTGCGTGTGTATGTTAGTGTGCGTGTGTTTAAGCGCTGATCCAAAGAGAGGAGGAGAAGAAAAGAGGAAGGGGGGAAGAGAGAGTGATGACTGAAATGATTGATAAAAATAAAGCTCAGAAACAAAGTGGTGAACATGCTGATGGAGGAGGACGAGCTCTGTAAATATGCACAATGCAAATGTTCCACAATGCCTGAACACTGTAAAACCCTATTCAATTAAGTCAACTTATTCTTTTTTTTTTTTGCAGCTTGCACGCAAAACTTTTAGTTGGGTACAATACAGTTACATAAAATTTTTGAGTGCACCAGACACAAAATAAATGTCATGACCTTTTTCTGACAGGAATTTATGTCAATTTAAAACATTTTTTGAGCATTTAATTCTATATCAAATGATAATAAAAACAATGCGTACACTTTTTAGATTGATTTTTTTTTAAAATTTCATTGAACTATAAAAATATAATATGGCGTTTTTAGATTTCTCGATTGCAAGAATAAGGCAGATGAATTCTGAACCAGGAAGTGCACTTTATTTCACCTCAACAACTTAGATATTAGAAACTCTAACATCCACACAGGCAGGTGGTCACCAACTCTCTAACCCCTTTTACTGTTAGTAAACAGTATGACGTTTTTCGGTGGGCGGGGCTTAGCTGGAGGCAAAACTATTCTTCACAGACATTAGCTATCGCTAGCTAGCAAGTTCTGTTGGCTCTTTTTAGACAATGGAGGAAGATGATGGGAGTACCCGTGCAACAAAAGTGCCCTCTTGGATGCCTCAGAAAGCACAACAAAGTGCCTTCTAGGGTGAAGAAAATGTGACAGTGCTCTTTAGGGTGCCATTAAATGGAGAAACTATGATTAAGTGTCCCATGAGGTGCCTTTTAAATAGAGAAAGTGTGATGAAGTGCCCTCCAGAGTGAGAAAACGCAGTGCCATATAGGCTGCCCTACGTGCTAGAAAAATGTTCCACTTGCTGGTGGCCCGGCGTCACTGGCAGCCTTTTTATGTTTTTCCGCCCCGCCCCTCAGTCAACCTGACTCCGCTATTGCATGTAGACATCTAGGATTATGCTGAAACTTCAGCAAAGGCATTTACAATATTAAAGAGGCAACAGATAGCATTTTTTCCTAAATATATCATTATGAAAATAATGTGGGTTGCACAGGGTAGTGGCCACAGTAAAATCAGACTATCAGCGTTTACATAGGTTAATTAGTGGCTTTGCAATCTTTGTAATAAGCTTCTGCCACCGGGGGCGAAATTTTGTGGAAAAAATCTGCTTTACGGCAGGAAACGCGTCATGTATTGCGAAACTGGTCGGTCAGCCAATCAGGGAGTGGAGCTGGTCCTTATGAGGAGTTGGGCATGAGATAGTTGAGTCACGAGCACAATGGCAGACGGACAAAGTTTGGAGACAAGTGAAAAACGGCCTAGCAAAAGAAAAGGAGCTCCTCTGTGTGAGGAGGCAAAGAAGAGCAAAAAGGAGAGTGATAAAAGAAGAGGAAAAACAAGAGTAAACCTCAGTCAGGCGTTCAAGAGATGGAGGGAGCTCCGTGACCAAAGAGGCTTCAAAACCCATGTCCAGCTAGCTTTCTTTCTAATGGATCAGTAAGTAACACGGCTAAATGTTAGCTAGACCAGAGAGGACTGTACTGTACTGGCTGCTAGTTCATTCCTAGCTGGCCAGCATCGCAAATCGCCGCAACCAGGGAGCGGGTAGCGAGTGTTGGTCGGCTGACATCCTGGTTGCCATTCTACGGCAGCCCTCGGACAGTGATACCCCCCTCCCTTCCTTCTGTTCTCTTCTCACGGAGGCAGCTATCCACGGACATCGCCCAGCTAAGTTACGCCCAGCTAAGTGAACACTGGACTTTGTTTCCCATTCAATTTGAGCTCCAACCGGCCGCATGGTTTCCATACGGTAGCGTTTATTCTAGAATGGGGACTGTTTACATGTGCATATTGGTATAATTCCACTGTGTCTACTGTTGTTTGTACTGATACTGTACATATTGGTATCATTTACTGTGAGTTGTTTGTACTGGTACTGTGCATTCTGCTATAATTATTTGCATTACTGTTTGTTTTTTCTTCAGATAAATCTGATAATTATTGCTTGGTCTTTTCATACATATACAGTACATAGGTATACCGGTGGCTTTACAGCCTACATTTTATTTAATTTAGAGAGTCTAATAGAGTCATATATTATTGATTATCTCTGATCCCCACGGTCAATTTCAGATTCAGATTTCAGATTCACTTTATTTGTCATTGTCATTGTCATTATTTGTCATACAAAAAGAAACGGAATACTGTTTCTCATCAGCTACACAGTGCATAAAAAGACTAGTAATAAATAAGTTAAAAGGACTAAAAAACAAAAACAGACATCAACAAAAGATAAATAAAATAAATAAAATAAACAACATTCGGACACACCCGGTTGTTGCAACAGTGCGACGCAACACCACTGACACTAGGTGGCACCAAGCTTAAAAAAAAAAATTTTAGATTCCTATCTGTTGCCTCTTCAAGGATGACACCAAAAATGACTTTGTAAAACACACTCTCATTCCGACCTCGTCACATGACGACCTTTGGTCATGGACTTGCCACGTCAACATATGACGTCCAAGATACCCTGGGTTCATTGGCTGTTGACGTTCTGGGACATCGTATCAACTTAAGCCTGTTACATGTATTGTCAGATTTCAAAATATACTTCCGTTTTCACAGGAAATGTACAGTTTGCATACAGTCTCTTTCAAAATAAAAGCACTACGTCGGTACAACACCGCAGATTGATGTTTTTTTTTCCTACAGCAACAAATGCACGTGGTTACGTTTAGCCAACACATGCACATGGTTGGGTTAAGGAATAAAGAACAGGATTTGGCTTTACAATCTTACAGGAAGTGAATACCGGCAGGTGAAAGTTGGTAGTTGTTAGACCCATCCACCACCCCTCCTGCCCACCCTACTTGGACTTTCACCGCTTTAACTTTCGTTGTTGTCCCACCATGTTTTATTCAGTCTCTTTTTCCAACTCTGTGCAGACTCATTTGGATCAATGTTTGAGCGCTGCGGAGACCGACAGGTGGTGGTGGGTCGTTGCATCTCACCTGTAAAGGGGCTAAAATTAGCACGTTTACCCAGGCGATGTGTTTGTGCAGTGGAAAAGGGGCTTATTTAAGATAGCTAACTAGCCTGCTGATTCTCAAAGTTTTCAAAATACCACAGTGAGGAAACGATAAATTGGAGAAGTCATTGCCATTTATTTTCTCTTTTTATAGTCCATTGTTTGCTGTTAAATTAAATTTCCTGAACAAGAGCTCAGCTCCCATATTGCATGTGAATACTATGGTGTTTGTTCCCACCACATCAAAGCCCATTACTCTCCGACTGTGGGAGGACGTCAGCAGCTTTTCTTTCTCTCAGATCCAGAAACTCTCACTGGACACAAAGAAGTCTCAATCTCTCCATTTCTTTCTTTCTTTCTTTCTTTCCCTCCCTCTCTCCCCCTCATGCCAGGGCAGAAAGGCTGGCATTGTTTCCTGTAGAGCAGGCATGGATCTCTCCTCACACATGAGAGAATCTCTTTTTTTTTTGAAGGGGTTATGAAAGCGACGGAGGGAGGGAGGGAGGCTCGCCATTTAGCTGGAATGCAAAAATGTAGAAGCAGGGAGGGAGGCGAGACAGCCTGCCAACTCGATGGTGAATAAAAATGTAGATGGGATGAATAATAGAGATGATAGACAGAGAGAAAAAAGGTGAAATGAAAAGCAGCTGCAGGCAGGTTGTTTTTCAAAGGGTTGTCTTTTTCAGTGAACTGATCAACCTGAAGGGAGAGTGAAAACCTTAATTTTGGTCAGATGTCTTAATAATAATCATAAACTTTATTTATATAGCACCTTTCAAACACAGTTACAAAGTGCTGCAATAAAATAGACACACAGCTCAGATAAAGTCAGGATATGCTTTCTTACAGAGGTATGTTTTTAGCAGAGACAGCCTTATATCCTCGGACAGGTCGTTCCAGAGCCTCAGGGCCCTGATGGCAAAAACTCTATCCCCTTTAGTCCTCAGTCTGGACTCTGGACCAAGCAGAAGATCTCAAACTATGTAAAGGTTCATAAGGGACTAACAGGTCTGAAATGTAGTCTGGAGCCACAAGGAGCCTTAAAGGTAATTAATAAGATTTTAAAGTCAATCCTACAACAAACAGGGAGCTATGTAAAGAGGCTAAAACTGGTGTGATGTGGTCGTGCTGCTTGGTTTTGGTTAAATGCCTTGCGGCTAAGTTTTGAATAGTCTGAAGTCATTGCAAGGTTTTTTGATCAAGAGAGGAATAAAGGGCTGCTGTAATAAACAAGACGTGAAGAAATAAAAGAATGTACAACAATTTCTGTGTTTCTAAAAGTTAAACTAGATCTTATTTTTGCAACAATTCTGTGATGATATAAACCTGATTGGAGATGCTTAAAGATTGTTCAAAACATAAATTACTATGAAACATGACACAAAGATTTCTTGCAACAGGCTTTATGTGTTGTGACAGGTGACCAATAGATGGCAGTATTTGTTTTGTGATATGCTGTGACCCAAATACAATGATTTCTGTTTTATTAGAATTGAGCTGAAGAAAATGTAACGACATCCAATTTTTGATATCACATAGACAGTCCTGTAGAGAGCTCAGCATGCTGAGGTCAGTTCGT